TGATTCATCAATGATATCAGTTAATACAACAACAGATTATACATGTGGTGATGATGAAGAGTATCATTTGATGGATGAGTACTGTTATAAAATATTCTTTCATGAAACAACTTGGCAAGATGCAAAATCTGAATGTGAACGTAATAATGCTATGTTACTTATACCTCAACAAATGAAGACATTGAACTTGATAAAATTCTTATTTTTACGTCGACGTAGTTATACATCATCTGGTATTGCTCATGTTGGTGTTATTTATGATAATCGAACTCATACTGTTATACAATATAACACAACCAATGGAAATACTTTACCAAATACACCAAATCCTAATGCTATTCATACTTTATGCGAAAAAACATTTCGTACACGATATGAAACATTAATGTCATCATCAACTTTATCAAAAGAGGATAAAGAACGATTAAAAACTCAACAAACTGGTTGTGCATATGTTAATTTTCGAGATGATTTTGAACTATCTATCTCATGTAATGAAATACCTTGTAATCAACTTGCAACTGTAATATGTCAAAAATCACCGATTCGAAAAACACGTTCGATTGTAGCAAAACGGTTAGTTTTCCATATAATTCGTGTAAAATATAAAAATTTGTTTAGATAAATTTTGAGTACTCACAAAAGAAACATTATTCAATGAATATATGTCTACATTTATTTTGATGGGTATTTTGTGTGAATGCAAGATACTTATTTCTGTTTTTCTTCTATTCGATGAGTAGCACCACTGGAATCCAACGGGTTCTATATTATGCCTTACAAAATTTTCATATCCGCTTCATTAATCAGATGTTAGAGTTAGATGACTCTAACATTGATAAGAAACAGAATAATATCAGACTACAGATATGGGATTGTATATCGATAGTTAACTTCTCCCGTTATTGAGAATTCGAAGTCGCTATAGATGAAATCATGATGAGCTCATATGAATTGAAATAATCCAAACAATTTGAATAGTATAGATCTTGGTGAACAGTGTGATAATTTTTTCTTGAATCATCTTTAATATCTGATTATATTTGTTGTTTTTTATTGCAAACTTGATTAGAATGAGATTACAAATTCGTGAAGGATTTGAGAATGAATATGAAATTTTTGGAAATATTAAATTACTTTCTTAAACTCGCTGAAGTAATTAGTTTTTTCTTTCTAGTGATAATATTGGCTTGTCAATAAATGATGCAGCAAATTTTTCAAAACCTGTAGGCAAACGTTTTTCAACAATATTTGTCATTTTTGCTATAATATTCGTTCTTATACTTCTTGGATCTATATATATATTACACAAACGTCGTTCAATGCAAGAAAATAATAATAGAATTGATACAGAAAGACATACTAGTAATCTTATTTATTCTAAAGTATCAACCGGCAATGAATTCGATTTAAATTAGAATTATTATTATTATTATTATACTTTCCTTTATTATATTTCTATTTTATTCATAATTTTCATTTAGAATGAAGATTTTTCGATTGATTTTTTTTGTTCTTTGAATTGATGAACACTTCAAAAAGTTTATTTGATTTCTTTTTTTCTTTTGCACTTGTCATGTCATTTCATTAAATAGTGAAATTAATAAAAAGTGACAGACAATTTACGAAAAATAATATTCTCTCGTTATCGATAACTCATAGTATTTTATTCATCGGTTCAATTACAGATCATCAATTCATGCTGTTTGTGAGAGTCAGATAGATCAAGTAGTATATTTTATACAAACATCTTGATAATTTTGTCTTTTTTTTTAATGTAGTACTGAAAAAAATTAACAATGAAGTGTGATCATATTTATATTTTGGTAATCCTTATATTATAGAAATATAATCGAATGATTTTCATTTATGTGTTTTTTTTTCTGAAAGAATGACTCGTATTATTATAGTTATTCGTTATCCAAAAGTTATACATAGACGTTTAACACGTTCATTTAGTCGTGTTCGAGTATCAATGTGAATTATCCAGTTGTTTGAATTAATTATACGTACGAAAAATTCAGTTGAGTTGTATATAAAAAGCTGCAGTTTGTATCAAACATATCGATTAAGGTTTGAATAATGTGATTAACTTTTAGTGAAAATACTCAGAGGATCAACATTCTTTAGGCATACAGATGATGTCTTTGCAAATATATTCTTTCAAGATAGTTGGACCAATGGCAAAGTCCTATTTTCATCCTCATATATTGTCTGATGAGACAACTTTCCATATTCTGAATTTAAAACCTTTAAATTGATCGAAGAAAATTCATTGTTCCCTCTGTCTTTCAGAATTTTATTTGTTGAGTTTAGAAGTGGTCGTTGCTAATTATGACCTTCATATGTACATGGCAACACTGCTATCACTACTGCGACAGCATCAGCGATAGTTTATTTTCACCTAGATTTTAAAATTATATGAATTTTCACCAGACGCAAGTCCCTAGTACTTCAACAGTAAGAATTATGGTGACTCTAATGCGTACAATCTATCTAGCCATGCCACTGAAGCGTAGAGACGAAAGAACGTTTTTGAAAACTACTACAACAGACGTAGTTTTTACATTACTTACTATGTCACGGTAGCAGTGGCGAATTTAGGGGGGGGCGCTTGGGGCGATCGCCCCCATTCGAAAAAAAAAATTTTCGATTTTTCCCAGCAGAAAAGACTTAAAAATAGAGTGCATACTACTACTAATGAACTTCAAAACTCGATTTTTGGTCAAAATCGCCCCATATCTATCAAATCGCCCCTTATCAAAAAAATCCTAGATCCGCCGCTGCACGGTAGCCTTGTTAGTTCTAAGATTCCAACGCGACAATGACAGATTGCTAAAGTGTTTTGATTACCTATCCAAACTATAAGAATATGATCAAGAATGCACCGTATTTTTTTTCTTTGTAAACTCTATGAATAGTTAATGGTATGTCATATTTTGAAACAAAACTAAAGAAAGCAATTAGAGCAGGTTCTAACGTAACTATAGGAAACTTTAAGCTCGGTGAGATGTACTGTAGTTGAAGAATGACAACACTTTTCAATTTTGTATTTTTGAAGAAATCATTTTTAACGAAACTCCTCTGTATGCCTCTTATATAGACCGTGGCAGGCATTTTGATAGATTTCTTGATGAAGACTCCAATAACTGCAATATTGTGTTGCATATTGTAATGCTTTATGATTTGCACTAACAGTATTTATATTTCTCCATCACAGTTTATTTATTTCTTTAAACAACAATACAATACAAGAAACAGAACAAAAAAGTGTAACTATATTTTCAGATTAGAGTTTCCCATCATAGAAGCACGATACTCAATATCTTGTGCTATCAAATATCGATAACAAGAATCAAAAGATCGTCGTTCTATTTCTTTACCATTATCAGTGATTCGATACCAAATAATTACAAAACATATCATGTTTCTTTTCTTGCTTCGTATATTAGAAACGTTTTCAATTGTTTTTTTTCCATCAATCATTTACTTATATTGTTTCAACATATAATGTTGTACTTAAGAATCACTTGTCTTTTGATTATTATTATTATATTCATGGTTCACCCAGTTTATAGTTCATATCGTTATGTTGGTTGTTATACACAAGTGTTTTATGATAGTTATTTTATAAGTTCATACATGGAACCAAAATTATGTTTTAGTTTATGTCAAACACCAATTATTTATATACAACACAGAATATGTCGATGTTCAGGTAGTGGTCTTATGGATTATAATCGACAAAGAGATAAATTTTGCAACATACAATGTCCAAAGCCAGGTAATCGTCAAGACAAAACTACTAATACATGTGGTGGTATAAAATCGTATTCAGTTTACGTTGAAGAACAATTTTATACTCGACATGCTCATTTGTTGAACTATCAAATTCAATTTGCATCATGTGAATTATGGAATAGTTCTAATTATTATGATACATTTCAAGTTCAAATTGATGGATCATCTGTTAGATCTTCATTGAATAAATTAGAACGATGTGCAGCTGCATGTCTTGATCAAAATGCAACGACAAAATCCATAGGTAGGAGAAACATATTAAGTGTCAATAATTACAATATAGTAAGTATTTCATATTCATAGGAATCATAAATATTTGAGTAATGCGTACTATGGATTCTATGCATGGCAGACAGACATGTGATTTTCATTCTCGGAAAGGGCTTTCTTTTACCAAAATATTATTGTCTATAGCTCAGAAAATTACATGTGACAAAAGATAGTTAACGCAATACCATTGGGGCTATAATATGAGACTCGCATATATCCTTTAGACTGAGTACATTGATGCAAACAAGATAAAGATAAAAGTTTTTTTTGTAAAGATCAAATCCGATTTCTGAAGTTTACAATGTTGGAATTCGCTGCTTGCTAATGTTTGTAAAGGGTAGGAGTAGTTTTTCCTATATTGTCTGTAATGAGAACAGGGAAGAGAGTCGGAAAATCTTACCTTAAAATTCACACTCACTAGACGAAAAGAAACACTTGAAGACAACCATTGTTCATCTGTTTTTTTTTCGCTGTGAATTGTCCAATGCCATATATCATTCAAGATGGTTTCGCCTGTTGGTACCGAGTATTTCACTGATTTTTCAATATGAATACTTTGGATCTATTTCAACAATTAAGCTGGAAACAAAACGTTCCGAAACAAAGTAATTATATTTCACTTTCCTTCATGATGATAACTAGTGGGATAAATTGGAGAATGGATTCAGTTAGCGAACATCACGTTTCATAAAGATAAGTACATGATGAATACTCACTGATAAATTTACATTAAAAGTTTTTGGAAAACGAACATTGCCAAAATTAGGTTTCTACATTCCATCAAAAATATTTTTTTTATATAAGTGTAACTAGTACAGTAAATGATTCTGAACAAAATCACATATCTTTGAACTTGATACGGTCACATCTATTCTAATAATTGTTTTGCTCATTCGATGTAAACTTTAAAGTGAGACGGGATCGATTGTCACTCCTAATTATGATTTTTTTCACTTTTCGAACCAACTTTTTCATCACATGATTTCATTATATAATCAAAATAAAATAGTTATTATAAATTTATGAAGACAATTGCAAAGGCTCGATATTGTCATTTACTAATTGTAAAGTTATAGTATAAATACGAATTTGAACAAAATGTTATCTACACTGAAAAAAAAAGCAATGAAATCTGATGATTTATTTTCAGCTTTTAATGATGATATCAATCAATGTTCATGTATAATGCCGAACAACTTAAATGTTAATTCTAATGGTGCACTTAATTTAATAATTTTATCAAATAATAATTGTGATCGTTATTGTAATAACATAGTGGGCGATTCAAAAGTTGAACATAAATTTAAATGTGGTTCATCATCAGATCGACGTATTTGGGCCGTATATAGTTTAAATGATGCATGTCCGATTGATTCAATTTATATAAAAGAATTAAAACGATGTATATCTATAGATAGACAATTTATAGATTCATGTTCACCACCATCAATGCATTATGTCTTTGATGGAAATATAACATGGAATGTCTTTTTAAAAATAATTAACAAGTTAAACTTAACTAAATCCATAGTTTCAATTGCTTTTAATAATGATGTTACTATTGATCCTTCATGGACATGCTCAAAAACAACAACAAATATCGATACAATAAATTCAAATCTTTCTAATGCAAGTTATTCTACCAGAAATTTTAATACAAATTATGTATTAGATAACGGTTGCTTACGTATAGTTTCATTTTTATCTTATTTATATAGATCATCATATAGATTATGCATAGAAAATCCAATCAATAGAAATTTATTATCATATACCACTAGATTTTATCCAATTTATACATCTGATATTGATTATTTCATGATAACATCTTGTCCAACGAATTGGTTTGATTTAAACAAACATTGTTATCGAATATCGGATGAAGCTAAAACCATTCAAGAAGCAAGAAATAGTTGTATTAATATATCAAAGGTTGATGAAATAAAAACAGATAAAGAGATTATATTTAGCGATGACGATAATAATGATAATAAAAATGAAATGCGTAACAATATCAAGAATTATATCAATGATTTGTATAAAGGTGAAATCGCTCAATATACATCACAATGGCAAGCACATCTTGGCTTTTATCTTCTTGATACAAGTAAAATCTCTAATTGAAATCTTATTGATTATTGTTTCAAGTAATTCTTCATAATTAATAGAATTCCATAGATTAAGTTGAACATAGTCAAGATTATGTCAGGTTTAATACCCGTCAGCAAACTACTGTCAGTGTGCTATGATCCGAAAGTATCTAACCGTACCGATGATTAATTTAAGGATTATTGAAAATTCAAACGAGTTTTCCAATTGAAACAGAATTATTTTTGAATATGACTACTTGCATTTTTTACTGATCTTCTTTAAATTTACTAAATTAAGTTTTCTTGTCTTCCGAATAAGCTAAAATGCAGATTTTCATGTAAAGAATATGATGACTCAATATGTAACGAATGTATTGTTAATTTTTTTTTTCGAAGATTCTTAATTTAAGAATGAAAGATCCAAAAAAAAAATTAACTCTTCAACTAGATCAACAAGTATTTTTTTGCTAAAAACTAAATCATTTTTATATGAAAAAGAAAAGAATTGATTATTTCTAAATATAGTTAAAGTAATCCCTTTTTTTAGATCTATCAAATACTGAAACAATACTTCAGCAACTTAATCCATTTACTACAGATGTATCATCAGCAATATCCAATGGTAACATTAATCGTTCATCTATAAATGAATTTCAAATGATTAATCTGATGGAAACTAATAAAACAATTGTAATAGATGATTCATGTATAGTTGTCACACGTTCACCAATCGACGGAAATAAAAGTCCTATGTTAAAAAATATTCATATTAGTAACTGTTCGAAACCAAGACATGTTCTATGTAAAACGAAATCTATTTTTTTCCAATCTGAACAACGTTGTTTATCTAAACCATTGACATTTGGTTTACCAGCAATAATATCAAATCAATTAACACATGAATTATGTTTATCCATGTGTAAAACATTACAAACGACATTAGCTATTCTTTATATAAATAAATGTTATTGTTTCAATAGTGATCTTTCATGGATGTTGTTTACGAAACCTCATTATGAAAACTATCAAAAGAAAGATTGTGGAAATCCATGCCCAGGTATGTTTCAGCGATAAATTTTAATGTTTTTTTTTTTATAAATTCAACTAATCTTAAAATTGTATAACTGCAGAAAAGTTCGAGATTAAATTTTAACAATAAGAACTCTAGCTGCCTGAGAAATTAGCAAGCTTCACTATGCATCGAATATAAAAAACAACATGCAGTAGAAAGATATCATGTCTCTTTGGAACAACTTCATCATAGAGAATCACAGTAGCATGAGACAAGTCCGAGAAAAAAAAACAACTATAAGTTTTCTATGATTGTTGCTTACAGAATGAAATATATATTCAGTCTATATCTACTCTTCTCTATAGTCAATATCTTATAATCATCTTTCAATGAATCAGATTGGAGTTCCAAAAGACTTTAGTGATGCAATCCTGGTCGTAAACCTACAAAACTAATGAACTCTCTAATGAATAGATTCATCTGTGCCTTTGTAAATTTATTCCATAGGAAAATCTATAAATTCATACTCCTTTTATTATTTTATTTATATTCTTACTGTCAGAAAGAATTGTGTTCTTCATTTAAACTTAAATTTATGTGTAATTAGGCGGATAAATCCAGACATACATATAATAATTAATAATTTCAGGTAATCAACATGAACATTGTGGTAATGAAAATACAATTGTTGTCATTGAAAATCCTAGTTATATATTCTCGTCCAAAGATGAAGATATTGATAAAATAACTACATTCACTTCTGATTTCGCTTATGATACTTGTATTCATTTGAATTCTGTGAATCAATCAACAACATATGAATTCAATTTAACTGATGAAAATGATATTCATCCTCGTCATTGTTTAGAATTATGTACAAATTATAAACAAAAATATGCTCTTCTCAATTCAAACAAATGTTTATGTACAAATATTCTAACGAAAAAGAAACAAGATGATCCGTTTTCATCTTCAAATTTCAATTGTACTCAAGAATGTTCAGCTAATTATTTTTATACATGTGGAAATCCAACCAATTCATCGATATATTCAGTGTAC